AGTCCTGAGTAGGGACGGCTGGGGATTGAGAAAAGGAAAAAAAGATACATGACACAAAGACATTAAGTAAAGCTGGGACCAGGTGGGACGCTGCCCTCAGATGGAGACACAGTGACCCAGAGCTAGTGCAGGGCGTTTATTATATACAGCATGATACCGGGAAGTTTTACTAGAGTTTAAGACAAAGGAAATTATGTGAAATCATGGTTAAAGATCAAGCTGCAATTCTTCATTCTTGTGACTTCTTTGTAATTGTCACTCCTGGCTGAGCCCAGATAATTGCATCTGTTCCTGGTGCCTGGCTGAACTTAGATAATGAAACCCACCCCCTGGTGCCTGAGCTAAAGGTCAGGCTGACAACATACCTGCCTCTGGAAAGGTATGTTTCCAGGACGCGTGGCTCTGCCGACACCACTGGACTCAGCTGACAATCAGCTCATGCGCCTTCCCAGGCGCTCTATACACTTAATACATACTTGCACATACGAGCTCTCTCACCCTGTTTTATAAGTGTATACTATTCCATTGAATGGATAAATCATAATTTATTTCATCAGTCCCCTACTGGTGGTCATTTCCATTGTTTTCTAACTTTTGCTATTAAAAACAATGCTATAATGATTATTCTTGTGCAAATGTTATTTCATATTATTTCTATCGATTATATACCTGTGGGCTAAATTCTTAGAAACAATGGTAACTTGTGGGGAGGATGACAGGGTGGATGGGTACAGGATTGGAACACTTTTTCATTGTATCCCCTTTTGTGTCTCTTGGAATTTTGTACCATATGTATTACCTATTCAAAAAAATAAAATATTTTTAAATACAGCTGCTGGCCATAGACTAAATGTTTTGTCTCTTTATATATTTACCTGACTATACTTTATAAATAAAGCCAGATAATAATTATTCCAAAACTTTTTTAAAAAATTCATTTGTTTTATTTTTTGTTAATCCTCACCTGAGCATATTTTCCCATTGATTTTTTAGAGAGAGTGAAAAGGAGGGGGAGAGACACACAGAAACATCGATGTGAGAGAGAGACAGATTGGTTGCCTCCCGCATGCACCCCAACCAGGGCCAGGAATCAAGCATGCAACTGAGGTACATGCCCTTGATCAGAATCAAACCTGGGACCCTTCAGTCTGCAGGCTGACACTCTATCCACTGAGTCAAACCGACTTGGACTCAAAATTTCTTAAAGCAAATTTCCCTTAAGCAGTCCTGTGGTATTTCCATGGAGAAATGGCAGAGAAATTTTTAAAAAGCAATCATTAATGTCTATCTTAGATACATAGAAAAGTAGAGTTTCCTGCTTGACACAAACATACAAAACCATAATGCTGCCGTGGACAGTGTTAGGCCCTGCCCGCTGCAAGCTGTGTGACATCAGCTCAGGGCCAGAGTCTAAGGGAGAGCTATCCCATGACCATCAGTGCTGCCCACTTCTCTACACAGGATGTCCCTGCCAAATGTCAACCTTCCACTAGGATGCTTTATAGCAAAAGGCCAAAAGAACAGTACTCAGTTCTCAGAAAAAAGAGTATCTTCTACTGTTTTCTCCTAATCATAGAGAAACAAAGGGTGGGTGGGAAACCTATAGTTTTCATACCACTAGTCACTATCAATCACATAGCTAAAGCATCATGCCACAAGGTAAGATCTGGACGTTGGCCAAAGGCCCCCTCTTTGGAGCAACAACATAAAGCTATTCACAACATAAAAGCAGATCCAGGGCTTCCCTGCCTCTGGTTCCTGTACTATTATGTTTTGCTAAGGCAAAGGGTAGGGCATGATGCCCCAGGCACTGACTAGCCTGCATATACAGTTAAATAAAATCAAGTCTGCAACAAATAGGGCCTTGATAACCTCCCCTTGAAAGTAAAGGGAGGCAAAACAACAACAACAACAACAAAAAACCCAAACCCTCCCTTCTGATGCTAAAAGAGTATAAAGTTTTCCTAAATGAATTTGCAGTGAGCAAAATTTGTGAAACTACCTGCTGGCTTTTATGGCCTGCCAGGAAGAGGACATCTGGTCACAAAGTGCCTGCAAACGATCCTAAACCTGTTCTATATTGCTTACTGTTTATTCCCAACAAACTGCCACTGTCCCCACGCCCTGTGTTCTTAAAATTTCTGTCACCCACCTCTGATGGAGACTTCTTGTTATTTGAGGTTCCCCCATAAAGCTTTGTGTGAAATAAGGTGATTTCTCCCAAATCCACTCTTTCTACACACAAAATTCCAGGTTTCCCACTAACAGTAGGTACTTACATATAGGCATTCTAAGAGACCTTGTTCTGCCTAATAAACCACTACAATTCAATGGTTTATTTAGCTACTAAAGCTATTATGCTTATGCTCACTATAAATTTTAAATTCACCAAATCAATAAGTAACCCACAAAAATATTCTGGAAGAATATTTCTAACACTTAAAATATAGCGAGATCTCTTTTTTGAGGGAGGATGAAAGGACTTAGACTGAGCTGAAAATCTTATTAGGCCAGGTACTGGCAGCTATTTTCAATGTCTTAGTAAAGTTACACACTGATGCTTCCACGGTACACTGGTTTCTGCCTCCTTCCATGAAAATCTGCTAAGAAATCTGCTCAGGTTTCTGAGTGTCCCCTTCTTTCCTCTTTGTACACATTGTCTACACATGATCAGTTTTCTCGAAGTCCTAGATTTTCCCATGTTAAATATGTAAGCATCTAAGTTTCTATCTCAGATACTTTGTCTCTAATGTCTGTATTGCCATTCTTTAATGGTAAATTCTTTTATTGAATGACCTTAATTCTAATTCAGTCTAGAAATGGTTCAATCCAGTCCAGAAATGCACGTTTTTGCTGTAACAAACTTTTACTAGTAGGCTCTGGAGGAAAAGGTGTATTTAACCAATAATTCTTCCAGAATCAATTTGGGTGTAGTTTCCCAAGATTAGTATTTATAAATCATTCCTCATGGGGGTGGTATTTTTGTCTTTTTTTAGTTGTCAGTCCATGCAATTCTGGCTCCCCAAGCAGTCAGACACATACCACAACAATTTCTAGCTCTGTAGCCTATATAAATGCTATACCCAAATAAGTACTTTAATTTTTTCTTAATCCTCACCCAAGGATATGTTTTTATTGATTTCTAGAGAGGAAGGGGGAGAGGGGGAGAGAGAGAAAGGAGAGAGAGAAGCATCGATTGGTTGCCTGATTGAACTCACACCCCAGATATATGCCCTGACCAGGAATTGAACCCATAACTTTTTGGTGTACAGGACAATGAGTCACCCAGCCAGGGCCCAAATGAGTACTTTAAAATTCATTGGAATTTGTGGCTTAAAATGCTTTTACTTCAGTAATCCTAAAATGAAGTTGCCAGGGTTTAAGAAATAAATATACAGGATGCCCTGTTAAATTTAAATTTCAGATAAACAACAAAGAATTTTTAGTATATCTCATACAATATTTGGGACACACTTATACTAAAAATTATTTACTGTTCATCTGAAATTCAAATTCAACTGGGTATCCTGCATTTTATCTGGTAATTCAACCTAAAAGAAAATCCCCGAGTATCTATTATCTATTCCAACAAAAGGGACCAGTTTCTGCTATGTGTGAGACCAGAGGCGTTTTACGACGTAAGGTAAATGAAGCCACATATCCTTAAAAGATTCGGTCACTAAATGATCACAGAATCTTGAAATGTCTGTCGGAATGTGGAGGCTATTTTTCAAGTGATTAAGGCATCAGTGGGAGTTAGGTCTGTTTTCTGAGTGATGGGCTTTTTGGTTTTGTGAATCTAAATTCTGAGTATGTAAGAGGGATAGAGGGGATAAATGGTGATGGAAAAAATAAAATAAAAATTTAAAAATAAATAAAATAAAAAAAGAATTCTGAGTGTGATGATAAAATCTACCTGCCCTAGCACATGGGAAGCGGAGCATGAGCTGCACAGAAAATAAGGGTAAGTCCAGGAGCACATTCAGGGAGGGTGAGATGCCTTTCCCATCGTCTCTGGCCTCCTAATGAGTGTTCACACTATTTAATCTGTGACTCTGATTCAAAACACAAGTAAACAGGGCTTGCTTTAAAATGAAGCTTTTATACAGAGTTATACATCTATGTACAAGCAGCTCTGAAGGCCAGAGAAGCAACTCACATTTTGGAACCTTGGAGGCTCTCCAGATTACACTGGGTTTCAAACTAGTTATTAAACAAACCTTAGGGAACAGCACCTAGAGCCTTGGCCTTAGAAGGGTGCAGGAGAAACTAAGTCAAGAGTCAAGATTGCTTCACATTCTGGAAAACATAGTGGCAACACACAACACTCCTGGATTGCGGGAAATCAAACGTGGGAGGGACATGATTGGAAGGAAACCCCTAACGTTCCACTAATTCCAGGTGCCTCGAAGGGGTACCCGTGGCAGCCATCTCTGGGTCACCTGCCATCTCATCAAAGCTTGACAGAGAAGGAAGAGCCACAGGAGCAGCCTTTCTCCGCCTGCGGGTTGTTCAGCACTTGGAAGGAGCTTCGGATCAGCTCCTGGCAGAAGTCCACCTGGGCGCCTTTCACGAAGGCCAAGCTATCAGAGTCAACCACCACTCGGGCCCCGCCCTGTTCAAATACCCTGGGGAGAGAAAAACAAAAACACAAAAAGCAAACCACACACAGGAGGACAGCATCAGTGACGATCATAAACACCAACAAGCCGACACTCTGGGCCCTGGCGTGAGAGGTGCGCACTCCGGGTTTTCGGAAACAGAGGAAGCATTCCTTACTGCCTCCAAAAAGGTGCCGATTGTGGAGGCAGAAAGAGCCAATGGAATGACTCCTGGGAAACGTTTGGAAATTCAGACCTGGCATCTCATCCGGCCTAACTCCTATCAACGACCCCGCGGGCCCAGGAAGGCCCATCTCCCTCCTATAACTTGGTTCTTTGGAATCAAGACAACCCGTCTTCACGTGCATCATCCCCCCCCCCGCCCCCCCCCCCTCCCCCGTGCGCGGGAAGGGGGGTGTGGAGCATCCTGAGCAACCCGTTTAAATCTGGAATAAAAGTGCGCCTTCAACTACACACACGGTCCCCGTCCCGCACACTCCGAGGACCCGCCAGCCCTTCCCTTCCTCCTTGCCTGTCGTCGGGGTGGATCACTGTGTCCAGCGAAAATCGGTACTGGAATCCGGAGCATCCACCCCCCTCCACCTCCAGCCTGAGGAATTCTGCCCCTTGGGTGATCTCCAGGAGCCTCTGAAACGCAGGAAGAGGGGGTCAGGCCCGCCTGGCCGGGGCGGCAGAAGGGTGGGCCCCGGGGAGGGCCTCGGGGAGGCCCAGGTCCGGGCCCGCCGCCCCTCTCACCTGGACGCAGCTGTTGGTGAGGTGAACCTGGCCTTCGTCAGCCTCGGGGCTGGAGGACGACGCCTCCCGAAGCGCCGGAGGTCGGCCGGACGCCGCGAGGAGCCTGCCACACGCAAAGGGAGGATGGTGAGCCCGCGAGCAGAGGGACACCTGGCGACCCCCACCTGGACGGCCTCCCGCCACACCCGGCGACCCCCACTGCACTATCCTCACGACAGACCTGGCGACCTCCAACGGGACAGCCTCGCGCCACACCCTCACCTCCCCCGAGGACCTTCGTTTCCGCTTAGTCCTGGAAGTCACAAAACCTAAACACACTTCCCAAGGGTCTTTCTAGGCTGGGTACCTGCTCCTCCGCCAGGGGGTGACCGCTCTCAGGGCCGCCGCCGTTAGGGACAAGCCCCTGGCGGCCGCCATCTTCCTCAGCAAACCCCGCCCCGCGCGTCGCCCCAATCCCCTTCTCCGCCAGAGCCTCGGAGGCGGGGCCCCAGAGACCCCGCCTTCGAGCACGCCTATTGGGCGGTGCGAGAAGCGGAGGCATCTTATTGGCTAGGAATGCTCCCATTGTGAAAGCGAGAGTGCACCCACCAAGCCGAGAACTGCAGAGAGAGGCGGGGCGGAGATGTATCCGAGTCCGCTGGGCGGCCAGCGGACAGTGTGGGCGGAGACCGAGCGCGGCCTGGTCCCAGCAGCCGGGGGCGGGGCGTGGGCGGGCCGAGGCCTTGTTTGCGGGTGCCGGGTCGCCGGGTCGCGGGATAGAGCTCCTCCCCGACCCCGCCCCGGCAGGTTTATCTTGTGACTCCAGCGGCCGCTTCTTCCTTCCTTGCGCTTGGAAGTTCCTCAGCAGCTATGTGTTGCTTGGCCGCCGCGCTCCTGCTCCTGGCGCTCAGCACCTCCGCCCTGGCCGAGCCGGTGCACTTCAAGGATTGCGGTGAGTCCCGGGCCCGCCGGAGGTTCCGCGCTCTCGGCGGGAGCCTCCGCCGGCACCTCGCGCTGAGACTGGAGCTCGGTGGGGCGGGTCCCCGTCGGCGGCCAGGCTCAGCCTCGGACCCCTCTTGGAGTGGGGTCGGTTCGGGCCGGGGAGAAGGTGCCGTCCTCGAGGAAACTCGCCCACCCACAGCTTTGTCTCTGCCCCTGGAACGCGCGTGTGGGGTCCCGGGACGTCCCTGGCGATGGGTGGACCTTCTGCCGAAGTTTCCTAAAGTTTGCAGGGCAGACAACTAAAGGTCCATAGACAGCGCGGGGGCGAGGGAAGGGGCTCACAACTTGTATTTTTGCCTTGTATCTTGGATGACCTCTCCCTCCCCACTGTGTTTGCTTTTCCTTTTTAACTTAGCTTTTGCTGACAAGTCGAAAGTCAGTTGTTCTTTTCGTGATTACTCCGTTAGCGTTTTTTTGGGGGGGCTATGGAATGTTGTCATTTCCTCCTATCTATAGAACTCGTGTTTCTGTCGCAGCGTGTGACACATACCCCCCCCCCCCCTTGCCGCTGTGGTTGGAGTCTCGTTGGGAAATAAAAGGAGGGGGAGGGTTGTAGAAATTGTGAGTTCGTTCAGTCAGGTCTATAGAATTGATTGCTCCTGCTGAAGTTTCCGGAAGTGAAGCGGTATAATGATAAGTGAAAGGCATGAAACTGATTTTATAAAATTCGTGAGCTGGAAGGAAACTGGGAGATCCTATAGTATAGTCAGTCATTGAATTCCAGAGATGTTAGGTAACTTAACCAAAGTAACAGAGCAGAATGGGAACCAGCATAAGTTTGCCCCTTTATATCCAGTTCCCAAGTAATAGTAAATGCTATTTACTAAGTAATAACAGGCCAGCAGTCTTTATTCCTTAATCACTCTGTCCCCTAGCTCCCAACTTTGCTTTGTTGAAAAAGTAAATGAGGGGATACTTTTCCACTATGTCATCAAAATTCATGTCGAAGCAAAAGCAAAGTTGGGGGCTAGGGGACAGACTGATGAAGGAATAAAGACTGTTGGCCTGTTATTACTTAACAAATGCTGTTCCTTTCCCTCTATTAAATTTAGGGGCCAACATTTGGATGAAGACACCGTCTTAACTCGTTCAGCCCTCATAATCTGTTTTCTAGATGAGGAAACAGGCACATAGAGTACCTTGCCCAAGTTCTCGTAACTAATAAGCAATAAGAAACTAGTGTGTGTTTTTGAGCCACTTTGGGTTTCAGTGGTAACCTTGAAAAAAAAATTAAATCCAAACATTGTTCTACTCCTTTGAAAAAAGCAGGTGTATACCTCCGGCAAGAACTTCTTAAGGGAAGGAGGGTTTCCGCTACAGATTTTCAATTTACTTTTGAATTGGGAAATACAATGTAAAAACTTTAGTGCCCACATCAAAAGTTTTTGAGTTCCACTGTGTGGAGTGGCATCTCTTCAAGTGAGAAATAGGGCCAGGCAAACTAGTTTTGCAATTTTTGCAGGTTGGGACTGAGGAGTTTGTTCTGTTGACATTGGGAGTGCAAGAGCCTCTTGTCAGCTGAAAAACTGGATGAAGGAGCTACAAGTACCATCCTTTACTCAGGTCCTTGTAGATCATGTGACCCAGCCTGAAAGAAGCAGGCAGAAAGGCTGAGTTCCGAAAGGCTTTGGGTATAAAGCACTGGATTTTCATTAGGTGGTTGGATTTAAAGTTTCTGGGGTCCCCCCCCTCC